GTCATGGAATTGGTTTTAATAAAAAGTGTGTCAGGGCGTTAGAAATAGTTACTTTTCAACCGGGCCTGTGATACGGATGTAATTTCTCAGCCATTTTTTAGTTCTAGATTTTTTGTCGACACTTTTAACATACTTCGTTTTAGGGTAATTGTTTAGAATAGGACACGTCTCATGTATTTTGATAATCGAATAAAAGAGTAACGTGTCTAATCAGTATACGATTATTCTACTTATTTGATCTTACAGCGTCTTAATTCTTGTTATTGGCTTACATCTTTGACTAAAAATCTTAGGACAGTTACATTTGCTGCGAATAGACAGTTAAGAATAACGCGTTTGACAAGTAAGTAACTATTCTACTTACGTGATCTTATATTCTTCTAATTCTTATTGCCTTACATGTTCGGTCGAAAATCTTATATTTGTCGTGAATGCAAAGCGCTCAGAGATACGAAGAAGTATTATCATTACTTTGCTTTGTTAAAAGTCGCAAATACCGAGCTACTCGTGCGAGGGTCCGCGGGACAACAAAAAGTGTTATTTGCGGTGGAACGTTGATTGTTGGTGAGAAAGTGCGAAAACGTAGGTCTCGGTAGCTATCTGAGCTGGGAGCGAGCCCCGTTTAATCCGACCATAATTTCGCCATTAAAGTTAACAACGTCTCCAGGTCCCAGGCAGTTACGCGGCTCCTCCACTCGGTTGGCCGTCGTTGAATATAGAAATTTCGGTTAACCATAATTATAACGGCGCGACTGGAGAGTTGGGGTCGCGCTGACGATCCTCCGCGGCGCGGAAATTATTAATTCCTTCTCTCTCGAGCCCTCGCTCATCCTTCCGTAGGCGCTTATTTTCGTCGAGATTTGCTACGCGGACCGAATGCCGGAAGAGATACACGAACGACGTCGGAAGTCCCGTGAAGGCCCGAGGCCACGCGATTAACCTGCTTTCCAGGCTTTCCATCCTCGGTTCGTTCGAGTGACTTTTAAGCGTATTTACGTTTCCTTTCGATGGAGTCGATGGAGCCCGGGATTCGCTCGCTGAAAATTGGACGACGACACGGTTGCTGTTACAATTGCTTGAGGAAGGAGTGACATGGGGGAGCAGGAGGAGCATGGAAAGTGGAAAACGAATCGTGGAATAGTGGGATGGCTGTTTATCGAGCACGGTACAATTTAGGTTTTTGAATGTTTGATGTGCAGGATTTTAGTCCAGAAGGTACAGCGACTCGCGAAAGTATTCGAACACTTACTATCGGAAATGTTTATGAATATATTACGTGCGAAACTTGTTGAAATTTTACACAGTGTTTACTTTTCTGAGTTTGCGTTTCTCACAGTAATTATCGTTTTATGGAGTTCTGTATTATTTTCTCTTATTAAGAAATAGGTACTGTTATAAAATTTACATCGCGCGAAGGAATTTATGACGAACACGAGAAAGTTTGACTTTGTTCAACATTTCGAATATTATAGTATTTTTAGTTTTCCTATCGCTATTCATTTCTATTAATGTGTGCAATATTAACATGATTTTCTAAGTTACTGGTAATATGATATATGGAGTATCGATGGAGTAATTTGGTAGTGCAATTTTCGAGAAAGTGGTTTTTCAAATAAAGTAGTTGACGTGAGAGATAGGCAAGAGATAATACTTAGACCTGGTAGAAACTGGATACTAAACTTATTTCTATGGGATAATACACTTCGAATTCCCCGAAGCGCTGTCCCAGGCCACTTGCGATAGAAGTTCACAGTAGTGCAATATTGCATGAACTAAGCCTTTGCGATAGTTAGTAAGAAATTAATTCGATCTTGCTTCAATCTAAAATTAATTCTGCCCTCGAGTAAGTCTTGCAAGAGCTAATATAAAATCCTAACTGGAATATCTGAGATTACAAACTGTTAAAATGTTATTTAAATACGTAATTATTAAATTTCAGTAAGTTAACAATATATTACTTGCAATATACTTTCGCATTCATGTTTCAAAACCAATTAATAAACATACGGGTATCTTTCGAACCTATTTCAGAAATTTTAAACATCATATCGATAGTTTAAAACTAGCTTCGCTATTTCCTAAAACGTCCATTTCACGAAACGTTCTATATCAGAAATAGTGTGGAAAAAAATCGAAGATATTGTAGTATAATTAGACTAGATTAAATTAAATTCGACTATTCATGACAGAATGACAGGCTGAACATGTTAACAGTTACTATAAAATCAATTCAGCTGGATAATAAAAGAGAAGAGAATGAAAAACTGAAAAAAGGAAAGTTTCAAGTTCGATCTTCGGAACATACGAGAAATATTTTGAAACGGTAGCCGAGGAGGAAATTGCAAACAGGTTTTGCGAAGATGCAAAAAGCATAATTAAAGTGAAATTACCGCGGGCGAAGTAGAAAAGAAGCCATCCTCGTTCCGCTGTTTCGTTTAAATTCTTCGTCCTTTCGTTTTACTTCTTCTCCCTTTGGTTCCTCGCGTCCTCGTACACGCGCCAACCGTCTAGTCTGTGCATTCTGTAGAAACGTTTCATCGACAAGCGGTTCCTTCTTGCCTTCCGCCAAACGGACCACGGTTCATTTCTCCTTCGATGTTTAACAGCGCTCGTTACGCTGCTACGTAAACGACGGCAAAAGCGGTTCGTCCCTCGTTGCGCAATTCGACGCAATTAAATAACTTTCTTTTTTGTCCTAGCACTATACGAACTTTTATTTTTCGAACCTTTGACCATTCGATCGTTTAAAGGAACGACACTACGTTTCCTTTATTTTAGGAACTAATTGAAAAAACAGAACTCAATGGAAAATTGTTCAAGCGCACTTGTTTTCTCATTGGCGAAAATAATTTATTTCCAAGATTTATCGATGAAGAGTTATATATTTATCGATGAATTACGGTTTCATTTTCTTGCCATTAAACACTTTTTGTAGCAGAAAATTTGTCGGTGCATACACTTTCGTAGCGTTCGTTGGAAAATGCACAGAGTGCACATAATACGCAAAAACGTATGAGATAGCTTTACCGTAGTATTTGTTACGATATTTAGTAGGTAAAACAAATTTACGTCTGCGTTCAGTTTTTTTCAATTACATTCGTAAAAATATAAATTTGCGTAATTATCCGCACTGTATCCGTAACAAACCCGATGAACTCTATCGCGAATTAAGAGAACAAGGATGTGAAACGATCATGGCTCGCATCGAGATAGGACACGGTACAGAGAAGCATGGGAGATTGACAATGGCGAGAGGAGAGGGCGGAGATCAGGACAGGCCGAGAAAGTTTTCCAATTTGAGGCAATTAGTTTGCCCGTGCGGGGTTGGATGGCATGCATCCAGATAATCGAATATGGGTCACCGTCGGAAGTGGAATGAGTCGCGCTTTGGTCAGGCCGAGAGTCTGACGACTGTGGTGGCAAGAGCGGAAAGCTAGATAGAGAGAATGTTGGAGAAGGACATAGAGTAATAGAGCGAAGAGAAACGATGGAGGAGAAGAGAGAAGGTTTGACGTGCGCACGTGGACGAGGGTCGACTAGAAAACCGGAGCTCCAAGCAATAATTGTTCGAGGGAGAATCTCGAACTATTCGATACGCTTAGGGCATTAAAACGTTCGCCACGGATGGAACGCCGGATGATTTGCATATAGAAAAAACGACGAGCCCTGGCTCCCGACAGCACCGGCCGGCTGTTTCGAGGCGGAAAAAGTAATGAATATGGAAAGGGACGCGGTAATGCGGAAGATAAAGTGTTCCTCGTGGAATGAGAATTCAATTATGAGGACGTTGAGTGCTCCGAGACGAGACACTCTCGCTCGCTGAATTTTAAGCGATTTAACGATTACCGTTTCCGATCCGATCTCTCATCGCGTTTGCAGATTTCCAGCATTTCTTTTTTTTTCTTTTTTGTTTTTCTTTTCTCTGTATGGAGTGTATATGGCTGGATGCGAAGAGTATCGGGCACTTTTTTCTGTTTTTTGAATGGAAATTTGAAGAAGGTTTTTACGATGGAATTAACGATCTCGTGCTGTTACGTTTAGGAATCCTATGTTGCTTTCTCAGAAGGCGTTTGAAATTTCATAGGCTTCGAAAACGGACGCTGGTTAGTCTGGTTTTATGGTGCTTTTTCTGTGATTATCGAGCCCAGAGATTAAATGTTTTACGGAGTTTTGAAACTGTGACCTGGCTTCCTTTCCTTATATTTAAGTTTTGCGTGAACGTAGAGACATTGAAAAATTTCCCGGGCTTCAACAAATATATTGTTATCGTAGTATCACAAACGCATCAGTTTCTTCAAATTTCATGAAATATTGACAAATTCACGACCGAACCCTTGCAATTTTTTTCTACAATCACAGTTTTGAAGAAGTAAGAATCTAATTGTATATATAATTGAAAAAGATAATAAACTGAAACGTAGTACGTCAATGTCAGCTTGTAACGTAGTAACATAGAATTATTACATAGCTGTATAATTCCTTGAAAGAAACTTTTGAAAGAAAATATCTCGTTTCAAGAGTTACAGTCTTACTGTTGATCGCATGCTTCAGTTTCAATTCTGAATCACTATTATCAATCGATTGATCGATCATTTCTCGACGCTAAGAAGTTCAATTGATCGATGCTCTTCGTTGCTTGATGGAACTTTAAAGTTCTCACCGGTGTAGCAGAAGTTTCTAAAGATATACGGGTTAAGAAACTGGCAAATACCATGCATTAATTCACTGTACAACGTAAAATATATCCTTTCTCGCGCTTCGGATATACAAATCTATTAATTTATATTTTTAATTTCAATATCATCGCTATTCTAATAACATCTCTAAGTTTAACAAATAACAAATCAGGTTTATTATTTTCCAATTAGAACATCAATATATCATTCTAGTATTCTATTATTTGTTGTATATAAATGGATCGTACATAACAGTTAAGTAATACATAGCGTGTTGCCGAGTTCCAAACACTTCGATAATAGTTGTGTTTCATTGCTTTACAGAATCCGAGGCCAGTTGGGACGAATGGTGGACCTACGACGGAATTTCAGGTAAGTCTTTAATCCACCTAAATCCGTCGGTAATTCAACTAACAGGGAAAGACTTCCAGAGTGCAAACTCATAAGATCTCAAAATATTAAGACCAAAGATTTAAACGATATAAATATATCCTTATTTTTAATCTTCGCGTTAAACAAATATCACGATATAGTTAATTTTCATAAGTAACGAGTAAAATGGAAGTAAAAAGGAAATGTAGTATCTCTTTGATGAGAATTTCCCCGCCCCCCTCCCCTCCTCCCAGTAACTAATATTACATCGCGCTGACTCTCTTGATTTTGGAAGATCTGATTTCCAAAGGAATTTCCATCAATTTTCCGAGTTGCCGGATAAAGTAATCGCCTGTGTAATTGCGAATCGATACCGATACCGGGCTGCTCAGAAAGAGAAATTAATCGGCACGAATTAATTTCCATTAATATTCGAGGATTTCACAATCGATTGCGTCAAGTTCGTCGAGCAACGTTCCGGTCTTTCGAGAACTCGACGGAATAATGAGATATCGGAAAGATTCCGCGTTAAAAATCACTCTTTCTCCGGTTGTCTACGGTAAGGCTAATATTGAAAAAGTTCTCTGACGAGCTGATACCTCCGGGACTATATTAAGAAGCTATGTTACGATAAATCGACATTTTGTTTCTATGCAGAAGCTTATATACTTATTTTCTTTGTTTCAATTTCTTTTTATGTGAAAGTTTGTCTTCCTCTCTTATCTTTATCATGTATGAACTTCCGAATAATTCGATGTATATATGCTGGTAATTCAAAGATTGCACATGAACTGTAACATCTTCTTTTTTATAAGCTAAATATTATGCTTTGCCCTTTATGTGTCTTCAAATTATTTTTAAAATTCTACTGCAGAGAAATAAATTATTCGACTCGCTTGTTCATTAACATACAACACAGGTAATATAATCCACTTGTGCGTTGTTAAAAATTCATCATCCAATTAATCCATACCTAATTTCGATCATTCTCGAGGTAACAAGAAGGTTTCGGGATTTAAGTTGTCGGAGACAAGAAAAATTGATCAGTTTCCGTGATATACGGGGTTGGTGGCAACGCGAAGGTCCCCTAATTTTCTTAATTTTAAGTTACGACGCCATCGAGTGGCTCGTGGCGCCGGCACGAATTTTTTAATCTCGCCGCGCCGCCGAGTTTTTATTAAAAATAAGACGGCCACCCGATAGGGTCGTGCGAGGCACGAGAGCCTCGAGTTTAGTGTTGTTCCGCCATGTGAGCCAGCTGCCACAAGAGATACAGTGCCGTATAACCTGGGTTAAGGCACGGTTCCTATAAAGCCTCGACCTACCCCTTTCCGCAAAATTTTCGCTTCGCTTCTCGGTCGAATTCCTTTTTATCGCGTGAACTTTCTCACGTTCGACCTTCGTCTCACTGTGTATATATATATATATTTAGAGCTTTCATTCGCGCTCTGATACTTCAAAGTATGGCTAAAGCGAGAATTCTGGCACAAATGCAACCTGATTTACGCTTCTACTTATTTGCTGTTCTTTCTCCTGGTTTTGGAATATTATATTTTTTGTGCTTGAAGCTAGCGTTCATTTCGCTTGCGGTGAAGCTTTATGCTGTTCAATCAAACTTCGCAGAACTCCATTTTGTTGGTTCAATAAAAATCAATATATCGCTCGAATGGTAAGTGTTAAGTCAAGTCATTAGGAAGAAATTCAATTTCCTGCAAGCATGGAAAGATTGTTTTGTAATTCTCAAGTTCGATTGAGAAGTAGTTCTTGGGTGGGTGGATGTAATTCGTTTCAAAAAATATTGCTGATAGGGTTCTTTGGACTAGCTCTTCTAAGATATTGGCGCTTATGTTTGCTAGAGATCCAACTTGCCCAACTACTCCCTCTGCCTACAGTAGGTCCTCGACTATTAAATTTTCCAGGCTCAGAAAATTCGGTTTGTCTTTCTTGAGCCCGGACAACTGTCGTCTACAATGTTTGCCTCGAGAAACAAAGAATCCATACCGCTGGATTCTGTCATTGAATTTCACTGGCAGGCACGATCAGACCACTACAAGATCAGAGCAGGGGACTCTGTGTGACTTATTACTGTCATTGATGGCTCAGGAGTGGATTTTTAGGGTGCACCGAGGTCTCATATCGCGGACAGATGGTTCGGCCGTTTTTACAACCAATAACGGACTCCCTCCGTAGATATATACCTGTACCATCTTACGCTCGTCTATCTATACGTTCAACATATCTTTGATTTCATCCCGACTGTGGAGAAAAATATCGCCATATGTAGACTCTACTTTGTCGTTTCTCTTCGCTGCGTGTACTCAGTGGATACAACGTTGGATGTAAAATGGCCCATGAAACCTATTTCAACACTCATCATAGAAAACTTATATATATATATATGTATGTATATTGTACGCGTTGTATAAAATATTTTGAAATAACAAGTATAATACAACATGAGTTGAAAGTATAATAAAAGAATATAGCAGAAGAGAGTAATCTTGACAAATGATGCGACTTTAAATAACAAAACACAGCAACAACAAAGTTAAAAATAGACCCGCTAAATATTAAGATTTTTTAATACCAAATAAAACATTTTTTTCAAGTATCAGGATATATGACAGAGCTTGGAAATACGGAAGAATTTTTTGAGAAAGCGCGAAAAAGGAGAATGACAAACGAACTCCCGGACAGATATTCGACGTGGAATGCGCTGGGGAATGAAAAATTTTCAATGCTATGAAACTCCTCCAGGTGGCTTGGGATTAAGTCGGCCCCCATCGTGGTCGCGTGTTTCGCGTTGGTACGCAACTGGTAACCATTGGCAAGCCTTGTGCAACATTTGAAGAGCACTTTTCCGGCCCTTGGAAGTACTATTTCGAAGTGAAAATGAAATTTCTACCGCGAGACGAGACTGCCTTCATTTACACTATGACGTATGCCAGTAAGGCACTTAATGATACACTTGTTAAAATGCTCAGACGGTGCACCAGAGAGAGCATATCTTGCTTAATCCGCGAGCATAAGGGAGTTAATTAAGAATCTCTCACTAAACGCCAATGGCTTTGAGAACTAGGGACACGTTTATCTTGAAACATTGTTGTTAGTGTTTGACTACGCGTTTGAAGAGTTGAGAATTATAGCGATGTAAGTCAGTCTAGTTTTCACAAAATACAGACTTTTATATTTATTATTGTTGAGAATTGTGGATCTTGATAGCCGAAATAATGTTATAGGAACACTAAATTTATACTTGGAATTAGTATTAGAATAGTTATATGTTTATTTTATGGACGATTTCTAAGATATTCATCGATACACACTTGCACGCGTCTCAGCACTTTCTTCTATACTCGACTGTTAACTGAATAGTTTACATTCATCTGTTTTCGAAACGCCGCGCACACACGTACATCCACACACTGACACCCACATGCAAGTATCCCAGTCCAAGACACAAAATTATACATATCTCAATAATTATTATAAATTATCCACTGTATTTCTTTAAGTCGCGAGAACGTATCGCTTATATCGTTATAAAGGTATAATTTAATTTATTATAAAGATGAAGGATGGTATTTTTCAAGTTGAAATGAACGTGATTAAAGTCAAATTTTGAAAATCTGGACTCACACCAGTTTGATTTTCAGCTCGTTATTTGTGTCGAGCAGTATAAACTTAAACTCACGATAAATACATTGTTTGAACCGATACTTTTACATAAAATTTCGGAAATGTTCGATCACTCCTATCACCCGAATTTTATCCTATTCATTGGAAATAAAAATTCGAGTCAAGAATCAATTTTTCAACAAATCTGTGAAAAAGCATACTACATCCGCGAAAAAGAATTGCATCGAAACTAATTAAATTCAAAGCTGTGAAACAAAAATTGAAAAGTTGCAATTTCCAAAGTGAATATCGATACAATCAATTTTGGTCGTAACATCGATGCACACAAATACATATATTCGGAGGGGGAGAAAAACCCCGATAAAATTTCACAGTGAAAAATATCTGTAATTTCGAGTGATTTCAAGGTAGTACGTATTTCATCACACCCTTTACATTCATTGATGAAGGAGGTCGATGGAATAGTAGGTCGAGGACTCTAAAAAACCGCGTAAAACAGAAACGAATATATCTATCCTCCTCGTTTGTTTCATTGACGTTTCACGAAAAGAAAGCGAGGTATCTACCATTGTGTCTGAATTCGCTGTCGTGTCGAAATCAGTTCTGTGTTCACCGCAGGGTCGTACAAGGCTAACAGGGCTGCCCTTTGACCCAGACTTGAAGTTGTGCGTTCGACAATGCACTGGGGAAGGCAATCCGACACAAAGGGTCGTCGCAGGGGCGGATTCCTTTCATCGAATTTTCCGTAGCTACTTGACGTGGAGAGTACGGTTGACCTTGACGAATCTCGATAGAACAATCCTTCCGTTTGCAAATGAATCCACACAAATGGCCACTTTCAAGCGAAACGTTGAAATACCAAAGTGCAAATCCTACAAGGATTTATAGGATATTTGGAACAGGTACTAGGAATGCTGGCCTCAAACAACTTCTCAATTAATATCAAAGTGTTTAATATTAAAATAAAATAATGTAATAATAATTTCGTTGTAGATTGTAACATATTAATATCTATTAAATGTCTATCAATACGAAAATTTATGGTAAATAATCAAAGCAAGGGAAAAGGATAGGAATCTCCAATCTCTTTATTGAATCAAACGAACATTATACGAAGAGCGTGAAGTAAATAAAGATAATTGCGCATAAATAACGTCGTAGTAGCTCGTAATTTTCACTTTTTCACCTATTCCAATATCGTCGCGTGGTGATTCAGTACGAGGCCACGCGTTATACGTTCTCTTCGATTTCATCGCTTTTTTTATCTACCACGTGGAATTAACGTGATAAACGTAATTAATATTTCCTCAGATCTTAAATATATATTTTTAACAGATTTTGATAATTACACGTGGTAGATG